GTATAAATATGTATGATTTATTGAGTCAAAGGCTTTATACACATCCAGCTTCAGTATCCAAACTTTTCTGGTTTTTTGCTTTGCATGATAAATTACATTTATTATATTTCTAATTGGATCTCCAATTGCTCTCCCTTTAATGAACCCATATTGAACTTCCTTTATTAATACTGGTAAAAAAATTCCAATCTATTTGCCAAAATCTTTGCAAAAATTTTATAATCTTGATTAGCTGATGTTATTGGGTGGTATCCTTCTGGATTTGTCTCAGCCTTATTGGGTTTTAACATTGGAATGATTTCTGCTGCTTTCCAGGATTTAGGTATATCCTGGTTTTCTAACACATTAAAGATCCTTACCAAATGAGCACTTATTTCTTTCTTAAATAACTTGTAAAAAATACCCGTTAGTCCATTTGGGCCAGGAGATTTTAATCCTTTTAATTGGTCTATCATTCTCTCAACTTCTTTGCTTATTGGAGCATTTAACTGCTCTGTCTGCTTTTCAGTTAATTTATAATCAATTGCTATTTCTTGATCTACTATCTTTCTGTCTTTGTTTAATTTTTCATAACGTTTTGCCATAATTTCTCTTATTTTCTCTTCCTCTGTCACTATTTCCCCATTTTCTTCCCTCATTTTGTTTATTCTTTTACTCTCTTTCTTCCTTCTCAAGCATCTAGCCGATCTTGTCATTCCTTGTATATCTTACGTTTGAAATTCATTTTTTACATATAAATATTTCTTACTAACAGTTAGCTGGTTATCTTCTGTTTCTTTCTTCTTTTTATCCCATTCTTTTTTAACATTCTTGTTTTTATTTTTCTTATACTCTATTTGTAATTTTCCTACTTCTTCTGTTAATTTCTTCTTGTGTGAATATCTTTCTTTTTTCATCCCTATTTCCATAGTAATACATTTCCCTCTCACCATTGCCTTAAATGAATCCCATACTACACTTTCCTTAATTCCCCATTAGAATTTATTTCAAAAAGTGTGAATTTCTTTATCTATTTCCTGTTTATATTTTTCATTCATTATTATAATTGGATCAGATCTCCATTTCCTAACTCTCTTACATAGTGTCATTTTTACTGTCATAATTAGTGGAGCATGATCAGAAATCCAAAAATTTTCTGTGTAGATTGACCTTATCTGAGGGTTATTTCCATCTTTCACAAGAAATAAATCAATACAACTGTACTTTTTATATCTGCCTGAGTAGAATGTTTCTTCATTTTCCTTATATCCACATTCTTCATACCCATCCACTAAATTCCATCTCTTCAGATTAAAATTCTTTTACCCCTTCTGCCCTTCATTATTTTAAAATTAATATTACAGTCTCCTCCTATATAAAGATTGCCTTTGGCAAATTATCTAATCTACCTGAAAGTTTATATCATTCCTTATCATTATTGCTGCTCCTCTTGCTTTGTCAGAACCTCTAGATTCAAACTGAGTTTTCCATTTCTTGTAAATAATATATTCTTATTTTTCTGTTTATGTGTATCCTGTAAAATTACTATACCTACCTTCTAATCATTCAATAACCTATTCAGATGATATCATGTTACTGGGGTAGATAATCCATTGATTTTTTAACGTCATAATCTTATTTTTTTCCATTTTATCTAATATCATTTTTCTTTAACATTCTGAAATTCCACATACTGAATCTATAAACAACCATTCCCATTATTCCCCATCTGATGATTTGGTTCCCCCTCTTCCTTAGAGGAGTCACTGAACAAATAAAGCCCACTACCATTAATCAGATTTCCCCTTCTATATTGCACTCTCCCTATCTCTCTCCTTCATTCCTGTTTTATTGTTCTTACCATTTACATTTTGCTTTTTTTAAAACAAAAAAGCTTTTTCATTACCACCTATAACTATCATTTATAGCTTTTTTTCAGTGCACTATGTCATCACTTTATACTCCACAATAATTCTTTACCAAATCTTAAGAGTTATACATGCTTCCTAAATATTAACCACTATTAACCATCAGTTAATCAGATAATTTTCAGTTACTGTCTAATAACTCAATTAATAAATCAACAATCTTTCAAGAAATCATTAATTTCAACACCCAAGTGTATTTCTTCTGATTCTGCTTTTTTTCTTATTTCCTCTAATTTCTCCTCCTTCTTCCTTTTCTTTTTACTTCATTTGCTTTTTTCCCTGGATATCAGAGTCCAAATCATCTTCTTCAGTCTCCTGTTGTTGTACTTGTTCTGCCATGTCACC